GACCTTAACATGGAAAAAGATTTAGAGGTAAAATTAAGTCGCTGGGCAGGAGGGGGAAAGCAACCCTTTTTCATTTTTGGCCTAAAGAACTGAGTTGAAAGGGCTGTTCACCAAGATTGAAAACAGGGGAATAGGAGTATGGAAGACGGCCTTGAAATTGGTGATGTTTGGATGATTACTAGGAAATGTTCATTAAGATGATATTTTTATGTGTCTGGAGCTCAGGGGAGTAGCTGAATATGACCAGTTTATATTCATAGCTAAAACTGGATTTGTATGAGAGGAGGTGTTTTTAGTATGAAAAGAACTGAAGAAAGAATTTAGGTGCCAGGGAGATGGCTCAATGGAACAAGTGCTTCCCTAGTAAGCGCAATGGCTTGAGTTCAATCCCTGGTTCCACCAAAAAAAAAAAAAAAAAAATTAGGAAAAAAAAAAAAAAAAAAAAAAAAGAATTTAGGGAAACATCAATATGTATGGGGGAGGTGAGAAAACAAAAGTAGAAAAAGAGGTGGCAGACCTTCACCTATGGTAGCAAGATGCTGTCCAAGCTGAGGAAGGGATTTCTGGGAGGAAAGAGTAGTAGAAGCTATAGTGAAGACCTTTAGGAGGAGGCTTGGTAAGAGAACCAGGGAAGAACCCATATTGGCAGTAAGGCATGAGATCTAGAAAGTCTGCTTTTATGGAGGAGTAGAATTGTTACGAACTCTAAAAACTAAATATCAGATATAAAGTATACCAGGCATGTTTTTCAGTTTAGGAAGGGAGATTTATATTCCAGAATCTCTGGGGAAAACATCCTTCATTTTTATTTGCTGTTAATGTGTACAGTGGTACATAAGAATAGGATCTTATTGGTGGGAGCTTATGAACCAAATGAACTCTGTGATGGCTTAAGCATTAGTGAAGGGAAAAACATACAGTTGTGAAGGCAGCCCTTCTATACTTTAAATTATCTTGGGCAGAGTTCAAAAAGATTGTGGAATCTGGAGTATAGAACACATAAATCCAAACCCCAGCTGTCCACTGTAGCGACCTGGGAAAGGTTTTAGTTTTTTATATTTTTTGTTGGTGTTTGCTTTTATACCTTTCTGCATCAGATTTTCTCTCATTTAATAAAGGAAGGGTGTTTTGATAATTAAGTTACTTTCACATCTGGGATGTTACAGGTACTTAGAAAATGATAACCTATATCACTCATGCTCTCATCTCATCAAGTCAGGGACAAAGTTGCATTCAAAAATCTCCAAGTTACTGAAGTGTATGGATTTAATCCTATGAACTTGACTTCTATTTAACTACAACTAAAAAATTATTTATAAATATAGATCTGTGGGAATGATGTGAATTTTGATGATGATGATCTTTAAGCATGAGGAAGAATGAAGCTCTTATACACCACACATAGGTCAGTAATGCCCCTTAAAATGGGAAGCATGCATGTGGTAGTACTCAACACATTTCCCTTTGTGTTCTAACACTGTTTTCAAAATACATGAAAAAAACTTCCATAAAAAGTATAATAAGAGGGGCTGGGAAGATGGCTCAGTGGAGTAAGTGCTTCCCTGGCAAGCACAAGGGCCTGAGTTCAATCCACGGTTCTGCAAAACAAAACAAAACAAAAAAAAGTATAATAAGAAATAAAGGGCCGGGGAGATGGCTCAGTGGAATAAGTGCTTCTCTGGCAAGTGTGAGGACCTGAGTTCAATCCCCGGTTCTGTAAAAAAAAAAAAAAAAAAAAAAAAAAAAAAAAAAAAAGAAGAAATAAATTGTTAAAGGAAAATGGTGAGAAATCATAAAGAAATCTGAAAATGAGAATAACAGTGTCTACTGCCAATATATCCTATAGCCTGAATATTTGATTCTTTCATTTTTGTGGGCTTGCATACCAGAGTCAAAGTGAAATATTTATAGTGGTTAAAATACAGAATTAAGAATGAAATAAGGGATTGGTGCCTAAAAAGAAGGAAGCCTTTGTAGATTAAAATCAGATGTCATAAGAGGCCAAGAATTTAGACATCACAGCTGGTAGCCCATGGGTGTGGTCTGAACTTTAGACTTAAATGTTTGCTATATACAGTGAATTTTTTTTTATTTGAATAGGTTGCCAACAATGAAGTTTGAGGAGACTTCATGTCTTTTGATGTTTCTTGGAAAGTTTGAGAGTGTGAGAGCATCCACCCTGAAACAGGCATTAAGATGCACAGAGGCTCCTCTAGAACTATTCCCCTGGGAACCCGTGGCTGCTTCCCATAAGCACACAGCTCCCTTTTCATCCCCTGCCCTACCCTACTGGGTTCCTGGCTCAGAAAAAGAAATGTAGACAAGAATAGAACAAATGAATGAATACTTTAGATGAATAATTTTCTAATGGTATTACCTGGGACATTATAGCAAAATATGCTCAAGATTCTTGATTTTTGACAGTCCTCAAAGCATGCTAGGTATTCTTAGTTTTTTATGGAGGAGCCTTTATAAGATTACTTATTTATATACAAATATAATACAGTATTAGCTTATTTTTTCCTCTGTAAGTGGTTTTAAATCTTCACACTAACTCTGAAGAAGATGTTGCTAATGTTGTTTTCCCATTTTATAGCCTATACCATATATTAGGTGCCAGGGTAAGGTCATGAATGATAGAACAAGGATTAGAAGACAGTGGTTAGCCTTTGTACTTCATGTCCTTCCCATTCCTCACCACTGTGTCAGTAATAATTTCTAGTATAATTAAAACATGAATTGGAATGTTAACTTCTTGTCCTAAACAAAACAAAACAAAAAACCCCTCTAAAAACTGTAGTTTAAAATATACACTATCCTGCTTAGTAAAACTTAGATATAAATTTTTATTCTTTGTTAACCTATTTGGAGAATATTTTGTACCCTAAATGACACTGAAACATTGTAAGTCCAGAATTATAGCGTAAACTTTTATGCTTTAGATTTTTATGGGGCTTGTGTTCTTTTACTTTAAAAAATATAATACATGGAGAAAACTGTATATCACATATGTGTATAGCGCAGTGTACTTATTGCAAACTCACTGCACTCAACAACAAATCATTAGCATACAAATGAAGAAAAAAACATATCAGCTCTCCAGAAGTTTCTTCTTTTTCGACTTCTTCCAGTCATTTCCCATTTCCTCTGTCAGGGTAACCACTGTGCCAACTTCTAATATCAATCTCTAGTTTGTAAAGCATGCAGTATAATTGGGAGGGTGCAGGTGGTGGCTGGGGCTAGAGCCTGAGATCTCATACATAGTAGGCACGCACTATTCCACTGAGCTACAACCAACCCTGTGATTGTATTTTTAAACAAACTGAAACATCACAAGAAATATGGCTGTTTTTTTTTGTTTTTGTTTTTTGTTTTTTTTTGGTGGAACTGGGGATTGAATTCAGGCCCTTGCGCTTGCCAGGGAAGTGCTTATTCCACTGAGCCATCTCCCCAGCCCTGAAATATGGGTATTCTTGATAGTCCCCATTAAGATCAATAAAAAGTGTTGCTCTGGGCCAGACCAATGACTGCAGTTCACTGTAGTTTTTTGAAACAAGTGCCTTTTATGAGAGGACAGACCCATTTCTTTTCTGTGATCCTAACATAAGATACATACTTGACCATTCCAAGGTACCTCTTTATCATTAGATTGTACATAAACTTATCCTTTCTTTTTATAAAATGACAGTATTCTGCTAATGTCTCCTCAAATGTTTCAATTTAAAGGTAAGTACTTTCTGTGATTTAAAGTATTTGTTCATACATGTATAGAATAATTTTCAGTATGGTTAATAAGTGCAAAGTGCTAAAATTAATGTGAATTTTGATGAAAAATGTCATTTTCTAACAGCTTTCTCAGACTTAGAAAATGATATATTTCCAATAGTTCTGTGATAAAGTTTCTTAGTCATTTAGTGAAATTATAGTCCATTATAAGTAGTGTATTTTGTTTCTAAAATAAGGTAAAACTTCAAATTCTTGTTTATTATAGCATGATATTATGCAATGATAACATTAATACCCAATTGAAGTTGACCCAGGTGCTAGATTAAATTTTTCAGGTAAGAACTATATTAGGAGCCCCTCTGACTGACCCTCCCTCCGTGAGACAGAAGTACATAGTCTGAAATTGTGTCTCAGAACTACTCTAAGTTGCTTTTCATTTATGTACTTCTGTGAATGCGTCTTTTAACCATAAGTTTCTAATGTAGTAATCTTGCTTTTCATTCCACAATATACACTATAGGTCACCTAGAGGGAAAATCATGCAGGAAAAATATAAAATTTTAAAGATCACTTGTAAATGGTTAATCTTACCTAATATAACTTCAAAAAGAAACTTACTATAGGATAAAAACTAAAACTGTTTTCTGCCTGTACTTAATAATCATTACATGATTTACTCTCCGTCTGTCAAATGTTTAGACAAGTTATTTTACAATTTGAATTGGCTAGATAGTAGCCGGCTAAAGTTTGGCCTGTGCTTGGTTTTCCCTCTGCTTTTAATATCCAAGAGCAAAGTATTTAAACTGTCAATGTCATATCTTTTTTCTGGAATATAAGTAGTTGTACTTAACTCTCACAAATGTCATTGAATTCTACTTCTAAAAGGATCCTAAATCCTTATGTTTTAGAAACTGAATATAATAGACATAATTGTGTTACAATGCTGGAGTAAATAGAATAAAAAGCTTTTTACTTCTCTCAAATTTAAAAGGAGTGCTAAGAGACATCTTAGAGAAAATATTAATTTGTTTTCCATTTAGGCCTAGCCACAGTTAGAGTTTTGGGAATTCTAGTAATTGACATCGAATAGCATGCATAAAATTTTTGGTAATGTATTTATCTTAATATGCAGTATTGATTATACAACATTTTATTTCTACAACTTCTGTATGTGATTTAATCTACATGTTTTAATTGGTGTAAATTGAGACAGCAGGATCAAACCTTTTACAAAAGAAAATCTTACTCTTCTTTGATAATTAATTTTGTCACAGGATCAAGAATTTTCAGAAACTGAAGACATACAACCAGAAGACATGGATAAAGACATTAATGTCAAAAATCAGAAAGATAACGTGAAATCTGTGGCTGATGATGAAAAAGAAGCATCAGAAAATATTGACGTTGACTCAGCTATTGTTGACAAAAAGGTATAAGAATAGGTGCTTTAGTCCCAAGATCCTGCCTAAGAAAGACATATTAGGACCCTTGGTCCCTGAAGGAGCCAGAATCTACTTTCTTTTGGGAGGACAAATACTTCTGTGCACAACTTCCTGTGCCTTTGGCTTTTATGAATCAAGCAAATGTCTCTAGTGAACTTTTCTCCCTATTTGGTAGCATTCTATTTCCTGCACAAATGGGAGTCAAATGGTTTGGTCCAGGATATTATGTTATTGGGTGGAGCATAAAACAAAGTTGGGCAGCTGGTATTTGAAATGTTAAAGGCACAAATTTAAGAGTCCAGGTGCAGGTAGCAGAAATGAAATCCATTGTATATACTGACAAAGTTGGCCACAATAGTATTTGAGGTTGTGATCAGTTTGTGATAGGTGCAATGCAGATGAAAGTATACGTAGAATGAGAGGAAATGTCACTAAGGAAACAAAGATCATCTTGAAAATGAAGCCATGAGTACCCAAATATGTCTCCTCCATTTGGCTATTTTACCGGCTAGGACACAGTATGTTTCTAATAGTTTGGCTAATAGCACTATGGTTTAACATAAAGAACAGAATTGTGAAGTCCAAGACTGAATGATGTTCTATTAAATTGCTTTTCACTTTCAGAACTTCTCATGCAGAACATGGGCTAGTCATGCTTTTAATTGACAAAATGCTGTCATCCTTGCTCTGTGCAGATCTTATATAACTTTATTCCATTTTAGTCCAGTTCTTAATCCTTATTTTTGCTAATGTAGACAACTGATGTATACTTGTGAGATATGTATCATTTTGTGACAGTGTCTGTTTAACTTACAAAATGTTATTGGTCTGTACAGGTCATTCTCTTCTTTGGTCCCCTCTGTTTCTAAGGTTTCTTACTGTAGTGAGGGAATAAATATTCTAGCAGTTACTTTTTTGTTTTAAAAAGGTAAAACTATTCTGTTTACAGGATTTATAAATTCATTTTAGAGTGGTCTCTAAAAGCTTTTAACATAATAATCATTTAGTACCAATTTAACCAATTACAGAATGTTGAGGCAAGTCATATTCCAGTTAATATTCCTAAGTCTTCTTTGAGGAGAATTCTTGGATCATACAATTTTTTTAACTATAGAATTTTAAGCTAAAAGGTCATTAGCAGTCAGCATGTAACAGTCCTCATTTTATCCCAAAATAGTGTATAATTATTACACATTTATATCATTAGCTAGAAGCAAGCTCTGTAATCCTCCTTGAAAACCAAGACTGTTTTGTAGCACAGAACAAACACACTTTTATTGTTTCTTCATTGTTTATAGGAAGAAAAAGCCAAAGTAAAAGAAAGGGTTGTTCGTGAATACAATGAAAATCCAAAAGGTATGAGCACATTTAACTTTGAAAGCATAGTTTTCTCTTTTGAAATTTATTTAATCAAAATTTAAAGGTATTAGGGCCGGCCAGATGGGTCAGTGGACTGAAGCACCTGCTTAGGCAGAGTGCAGCAGCCAGGGTTCTATCCCCTGCATGCCATGCCGGCCCCACCTCTGGGGTGCACTGATAAGGTGATTAAGACTGGGCGCGGTGGCATACACCTGTAATCCCAGCACTTGGGAGGCTGAAAAACAGGAGGATCCCTACAAGTCTGATCTGTGTAGTGAGACCCTATAGACCCTTACTAAAATACATAAAAAATGTGATCTAAAATGTGAAGGTGTTGAATATTTTATTAGTGTGTTTATGAAACATCATAATTACATTTGTTTTGTGGGACTGGTACATGTGCATAGCATATCTTGGTTATTTCCATCCCTTTACCCCTCCTCCATACCCCTCGTGCTCTTTCCCATTTCCAACAAGTCAGGAAGTGACTTTTTTTTTTTTGGTGGAACCAGGGGTTGAACTCAGGCCCTTGCACTTGCCAGGGAAATGCTTATTCCACTGAGCTATCTTCCTGGCCCCAGGAAATGACTTTTTGTCTTCTGTCATCTCATCATTGTTTTTATTTATGTTGTGAGTTTCTAAGAGAAACCATAAAAGCATCCTTTTATAAAATGCTAGATACAAACATACACATGTATATGTACATATATACATTCTGTAATTAGATAACTATAAACTCACATGTATATTCTTTTTTATACATTTTACTATCACATGATGATGACCTCAAGGTATGAAATAGCATGACATGGACTTCTCTCTTTTGTAACAGCCACAGCCTTTTCATATACATATTATTCACTCCATTCATGGGTGCTCATATGTCAGTGTTCAGGGATTCAGAATAGCTTTTTTGAGACTTTTCCCCCTACTCAGTCAGTATTATTAAGTCAGTTGTTTACCCCAAATTGTAACATATCTCTAGTGGCCACTGTGGACTTTTTTGCCCAAATTAGGATACTTGGCCTAGCCTAGTGCCCCAGTTTTCATTCATTTATTAAAATTAAATAGAAGCTTTAAGTTGTTAATTATGTGAAACTTAAAAATTACATATGTCTCATAATGTACTTTAAAGATAATTACTCAGTTATATAACATTTAATTCTAAATATCAAAAATAACTTCTCTATTTGAATGCAAAGGATTGGACTGTAATGGGGTTAATTTAAAACATAATTTATATTTTTATAATAAGTCTTCTGTAATATTTCCTATTATCTTTGTGGCTATATTTTGATATAGGTCACCTAAAGATTTCACTATTGGTCAAGTCTTTTCAGACATTTAACTGTAACTCAGCTTTTCAGGAAATATACAGTATAGACATTGTTTACTACTCTACTAGTAAACTTTTTTGAATTACCCCACAACTCAAGAGTTGATAGTTTCACTGAAATCATCAGGTATTTTCTTTTTCTCATTAATTACAACAGTATTTTTTAAAATATATCCAATTTTAGGAAACTTGTATAGTTGCGAAAAGAATAGTTCTTCAGAGGCTCTGGAAGTTAATGAATCAGTACCAAGTAAAGACATAAAAATACCAAGAAAAGTAAGTAAAATAAGTTTTCCATTTTAGTGTTAACATTAAAATATTAAATTGTTCTTTCTACTTCTCATATGGTGATCCACATAATCTACTTCCTTTAGTATGTGTTTTCATGGTCCAAAATTGATGTAAAAGATTTCAGGTTGATGTTACACGTTTCTACTAAACTAGCTTCCCTTTGGTTAGTATTTTTCCAATAGATCTTTTTTTTCTGTTTTTTCCTTGTATTTTAGATGTATCCCTTGTAAATAGCCTATACAGCTGAACAGTGCCTTTGAAATTTTCACATGCATACTTTAAATTTAAAAATAATGTTTCGCTTGAAAAAATAATGTTTAATGTTAAATTGTAATGATACCTGAGATCCATCTGGTACTTTGTTGTAGAAACATGTATTGGCGCCCTTATGTGTGAAATGTACTACAAATATAATTCCTTTTTTCTTTAAGGGACAAAATGAGGATAAACATTTTAAATAAATTTTCTACTTTATTAATAAAAAAATTTAAAAAATAAAAATAATGTTCCTTTTTCCCAGTTAATAGTAGGTACTTAAAATAGTTTTTTCTTCTAATATCCTTTCCTTTGCATTTTACAAGTTATTGTACCCAGTGTTTTAATTTTTTTAACTTTACAAATCATGTTACTTGTTTTTCTACCATTTGCTTTACTCATCATTCTTTTTTATATCTCAGACATCCTTTCTAGGCTCCTTGTTCTTCCTGAAGAAACCCTTTGGAAGTTCTTGTCATAGATGCCTGTGGGTAGTTCACACCTTGAGTTTCTGTTCACTTGATAGCGTGACCATGGCAGTTATTTTCTTAGCATCTATGCCTATGACTACTGTTAATACTTCTTTATTATAATTGCTTATAAGTTTGTGTGTAGCATGCCATTCCTCTTTGGCTGTCCTTTTAGATTGCTTGATTATCTTTGATATGTTTCAGTTCACTATTAGATGCCTAGGTGTGAATTGTTTTATAACTTCCTAGAAATTGATTATGACTTTGATTGTGAATCTGAGACTATCACTTATAGTTTTTTAAAATAGTATGCATTATATGTTGTAATATTGCTTTTGTTTCCTTTTGAACTTGATATAATATTTTATTGTCCACATCTTTTAATATCACCTTCATATCTTTATACTATGTGATAATTTGGGTCATTTCAGGGCTTCTATTCATTTTATTTTGCTGAGATTTTACTTAGTATACTCATTGAATTTTAATTTTAATGATTATACTTCCTCACTTTTAAGTGAAGTTTTATTTTGGTTCTTTTTAAAATCAACCTAGTTTTTTTTTTTTTTTTTTTTTTTACAAATTCAGTATCTTGCTTTAGATAATTTAAGCGAATTTATTTTCTGCTCAGTATTTCTTAATTCCAATGTCAGTTTAAGAGTTGAAACTGTGTGTTTCCTGAACGACTTGCTAATGATGGCTTGCTGATGGTGCCTTGTGTCCATATGTGTTTCGAAATTTGGATTGTGTTCAACCAGAAAGAAACTTTTTATGAAAATCCTGTAAAGCCTAGGTTAGAGTGTCTATCCTTAGAGAATATTTATTGGCCTCTCTATGATCTCTGAAGTGGCTAAAGAACCACCTCAGATTAATATCTTCCTTAAGGATTGTCTGCCTACACTGGCAATATGAACTTCAAAGTAACCTCTGCAAAACATTTTTCTTCACTAAAATGCTAGACAAGAAAGGCATGTATGTTGTTATCTCCCATCATTTCCTGTGCACTTACATCAAGACATAGTCTTTAGAGAAGCCCTACATCATGGAGGGACTCTTCCAATTTCCCACATTTTGTCAATCTGAATTTGTTAGAACCTAGGGGTCTAAATTATGAGGCTAACAAATGCCATTTCAACTCTGACCTCTGAAGATGGTTGTTTCTTCCACATTTTTTTGGCATACAGGGATTTCCCTTAATTTTTTGTGAGATTATGTATACATTTTACAATTTTATTCGCATACTTATTGAGCATTTCTTGGTATTTTGTAGTGGTAGAATGTTTTCAAGATGTGTATTTCTCCAACATAGTGGGCACAGGAATGCCTCCATGTTAACCCATAAAACTTTTTCTAGACTCTTAATTTTTGAGTTACAGCTTTTCCCTCTAGTTCTTCCATTTTTAAGGCTGAAGGTAAGCTTGCTATATTTTTTCCCCTGACTTCTGAGCTGCCTCACTTTCCTAATTTTGCTTCTGCAGACCTTTGTCCTCAGTGCTGGTTACCTTCTATTGGCCTGCTTCTTACACTTTGCCATTCCTCAGTCTCTTTTCTTATATTGTCTTTTCTGTGTGCTAGGAATCCTTAAGAATTCTCAAGTTAGTCTCATTTCTTCAGCTTTTACCTGTATTCTTCATATCTGGCCTCCCCTGAGCAGCAGCTACATATCTCCTACTGCCTACTCATACCCACAAGGCTCACATGGTGATCATTTGTTGTTGTTTTTTTGTTTGTTTTTGTATTTTTTTTTTTTTTGTGGAACTGGGGATTGAACTCAGATCCTTGCACTTGCCAGGGAAGCGCTTATTCTACTGAGCCATCTCTCTGGCCCCATGGTGATCATTCGGAAACAGTAACATTTTTGCCAGAAATTCTGGTCTACAGGAATAGGGAGGTATGCCTTCCTTCTCTAGAATATTATAATAAAAGTTCTGTGTAGGTGACATACACTGGGGATAGCAGATATGCCCCAAATGAACCATCTTGGTTATATTTAAATGCTACAATCAGTAATATCCTAGTTTTTATCTTTTTCCCTCTCCCCCTCTTAACAATGCAACAAAGTAGAATATTAAATTTGGCTTTTGTAGGAAAGTTATATATTGCCAAGATGTTGTTGATGTTTGTTAGATCCTGAAATGGTCTTTTATGGGGGTAGAGTCATGTCTGTGTTTGGTAAAAGGGAAAAAGACTGATGAATGCTAAGAATGTGTCATTGTACTTGTGTCCCATAAAAATATGATGAAATGATGTTTATACTTGTAAAAAATGATACCAGTAAATATTAAGTGAGTGCTTCACTTACTAAAATCTCTATATTTGTTTTTTCTAGAATTTCTTCTTGAAACGGATATCAATGACAGGTCAGAAAATTCCACAGAGTCCTATGGAGCCATTTTCAGAGATAAAACCAATAGGAGATCAAGCAGCAGTACAAAGCAATAAGAAAGAAGTCATCCTTAATCACATAGGGCAAAACTATAATGATGCTTCCCGCAATGTGGGGGTAAAATCAAGAGCCTGTACAATACTATGAATACATGTTTTCATGGTTTACCAAGTGCATTCGTAATTTATACTTGAAAAATGTTATAACTTCTAAAGGAATATATCAGATAACAGACTTTTATTTTATTTTTATTTTTTATTTTTTTGGTGGAACCAGGGATTGACCTCAGGCCCTTGCGCTTGCCAGGCAAGTGCTTATTCTACTGAGGTATTGCCCCGACCCTGGTAACAGAGTTTTAAAGATACCAGTTAATATTTTTGGTTTGAACAGTGTGACCAGTTTGATATTTATTTATGCTAATATTTTAAGAAGCAGTTTTAAAATATGTGTATCTCAAACTCTCCGTGAAGTGTTGTAGTTTTAACTGTTCAGTGTTGCATAAAACAATATATTTTTATATGTGAAAATTGAAGTAAGATATCCCATAGTTTCGCTAAACAACTTTACTTATTTATAATTTCATAAGGCAATGTATGAAATCTCTTAACAGTGATACATTTTAATGTATTTTAAATTTTTACAACTGAGCCAAAACAAACCACATCTGGTTAGTTCTACTGTTAAAATGGATGACAATGAATAAACTTTGGAAGTACTTAGAATTATCCATTGATCAAATAGGAGGTAAAATATCTAATTTTAAAATGTCAAAGGATATAAATTATCTTTTCCCTGTTAAAAAAAGAATACAAATTCAACTGTGTGATCAGTAGATCTTCATGGGGAAACTTGAGTGTCAAAATTGCTTTCTAGTCTTTTGTTTAGAGAAGTGATTGAACATGAAAACATGATGTGGCATGATTAGTATTGTTGACTGTGCCACAGACTGCCATCATAAGAGACCCAGGCATAGCCAGGCTTGCTTATTACACCTATCTCTAGCATTAACAGTGATGATCCAATTCACCTGAATCCCACAGGGTGCTACTGAGAGGCATAGGATGACTAACGCTGTTAAGTCTGTTCTGCTAAGGTAGAAACATTACTTCCCCTGCTTATAGCTGCTACTTATTTAATGGAGCAATCCACCTTTATTTTCTTCATTTTAGGTTATTAATAAAACATTTTATTCTTCAGTTACAGTGACCCTTGCCCCATTTAAAGAAAGAAAACAATTCTATCTTTGTATTTCCTGCACAAATGTAATATTAGTCTAGAGTAAATATGATTTTTGAAATCTTACAAAATAGTCTTCTCCATGAGTTACATTTAATATAATTCTAATTTTATTAAAAAGAAAGGCAATTTTATAACCTTGACTATTGCACCATGGAAACTATAGTATTAGTAGAATCTTGTAAAAAATACTTTACCAGTATACAAATTACAGGAGCCAAGTCAAAATAAAGCTTGTAGATGCAACTAAAATGTGCCATTTGGGGTAGGCACAACTCTTAAGATAATCCTTAGGTTCCCACCCATTAGTGCCACATGCCCTGAATAATTGTTTTTCTCAGAGTATTTGTAAGACAAGTGAACATAATAGGATGTTATTCCCTTGCTCCTGTTACATTATATAGCAAATGTGAGAGATTTTGCAGATGGAGTTAAAATTCTTAATCAGTTTAAGTTAAACTTTAAAGAGGAGCAAATCCTAGGTAGCTCTTCCCCAATCAGGTGAGCCCCTTCAAGGATGTTTTAGGTGATGTAACATAAAAGATGTCTGAACTATTTAAAGCAGCAAAAATGCCCTTTTGTTGGCCTGGAAAAGGTCCACTGTCTTAATTGTGAGTAGTGCCATTTACCATGAAGAGGTAGGACAGCCTCTAAGATCTGAAGTCTGGCAACTTTGAGGAAGTGAATTTTGCCAACAACCAGTGAGCCTAAAAGAGGAATGCAGTCCTCAAGTAAGACTGTATTCCTGGCTTTGACACCTTGATTACAACCTTGTGTGACTGAGCTCAAGACCCAAGTGAGCAGTGCCGAGCCATGAAGACTATGGAATAATAAATACTTGTAGTTTTAATCCACCAAATGTATGGTAATTTGTTACAATAAAAACTAATATTGGCTATATTGTGGGCCAGGGCTTCTTCACATGATTAGATCAAAATATCTAATCACTTTTGGGACATCAAATGTCATTTTCTTAAAGCCAAGGATCACATTTTTATTTTCACTAAGTATCCAAACATCCTACACTGTGCAAATACTCAATAATTGATAGAAATATATGTTGTACTTTCATCTGTTTTTTCTAATCTATGGCCCTATTATACAAGGTATTATTAAGCTTCTTCAAACTTCTGCAACAATGACTTACTTGTTTAATGTATGATACAGCCATTATGTTTAATGAAGGATATCAGTACATCCTATAAGTTCATGTCAAAATATTCAAGACAAAGTATCAGTAATCACAAAGTCCCTCCTATGTATAAAAATGAAAATGTGCAGTTCTGAAAAAGCATTACATTACTCAGTGCTGCCTTAACAAAGTACTACAAGCTGGGTGTCTTAAGCTTATGTGTTTTGTCTCAGTGGGTGCCAGAAGTACAAAATCTAAAGTGTTGCCAAAGCTGTGCTCTGTCTGAAGACACCAGGAAAGTTCTGTTTTAGGCCTCTCTCCTAACCTCTGGCAGTCTTAAATATTCTTTGGATTGTTGTTGTACCACTCAAAGCCTTTGTTGTTGCATGAAATTCTCCCTGTTTCTCCATATTGTCCTCTGTGTGTATCTGTTCAGATTTTCCCTTATAGCCTGAGTACATTTTATTTATTTTTATTTCTTATTAATTTTATTGAGAAACAAATAGCCATGAGACAGTTTCAAAACCAATTAATATGACAGTTTCAATAATTAATACATTTCATAGTGTTGTCTTTGTAGTGGTTATTCATAGTGCTTGCTTGCTTGCTTTCTTTCCTTCTTTCTTTCTTTCTTTCTTTCTTTCTTTCTTTC